GTGGTGGGGGTGGTGGGGGTGGTGGGGGATGGCTACCAGGTTGGTCTCGGCACTGCTCTGGCTGCGGAATAAGATGGACGCTGGTCCTCTTATCCCGTGCAGTTGGAGGGTGTTTCGGGTAGTGCTGGGAGTTATGACCCCGAGAGACGGGTGAGCCCGAATTTGAGGAGAGGGCGGAGGATGGGGGTGGCGGGGGTGGTGGTGGGGGTGGGGGGGGGTGGCTACCTGGTTGGTCTCGGCACTGCTCTGGCTGCGGAATAAGATGGACGCTGGTCCTCTTATCCCGTGCAGTTGGAGGGTGTTTCGGGCAATGCTGGGAGTTATGACCCCTTTCTGCACAGGCCGAACAGAGCGGCGGGATCCAATCATAAGCAACTGTGATGAAGCATTCTTCCCCTGACGGGAGAGTGGCTACCAGATGAGAGGGCAGCGGAGCGAGCAGATTTACATCCACGTATACTCTAGCAACTTTCAGGTTTTCTTTAGCACCCGTGGCGCGGTCAAGATACAGGGGTTCCCAATACTAGTAGCAAGCCGGCTCAGACAATCAGAGTTGTAAAACTGGTAAGGGACATTATGTAGTGATACCCAGGTGGAAATTGACTTTAGAGTTGGCTTCTCAGGGGAGTAATTTGGATGCCACAGAGAAACATACATGGGACAAGACCCAATATGCTAAAATTTCCGACTGAGGACATGGTTTTTTACCTCAGAGGAAGGCATCTTAAAGAGGAACGTGCCATTACCAACATCATGGACCTTAATACGCTGGCCTTTCTTGCCCCATATGGTATTTACCACACCAATGATGCGACCCATTGACGGGGGGAGCCCATAGAACTGATCCATAAGGAATTCCGACCATTCCGCCGCCGACTCCATGATCGATTCAATCGGGATTTCAATGAGCGGATTGCCTGAGGAGTGCACAGCAGGAGACCCTATTCTTTTAAGGGTTCTCAGAGATGACAGGAGCCGAGAGCTCCAATTCCTAGGAGGAGGAGAACCAGACGGGCTGGCCTCGACCGGCTGAACTGGAGGAATAACCGCCTCGACAGGAGGGGGAGGGACAACCGAAGGGTTATCCAATGAAGAGGCTGATGGACATGATGCTCTGGGATGATCATACGATATGAGAACCATGTATGATACGATGTATTTATTGGATGAATACATTATTTATTTATTATTTATTTTGCATATTTGATATCCCCAGGAGGAGGAGAACCAGACGGGCTGGCCTCGACCGGCTGAACTGGAGGAATAACCGCCTCGACAGGAGGGGGAGGGACAACCGAAGGGTTATCCAATGAAGAGGCTGATGGACATGATGCTCTGGGATGATCATACGATATGAGAACCATGTATGATACGATGTATTTATTGGATGAATACATTATTTATTTATTATTTATTTTGCATATTTG